TTACATAGGAAACTTTCACTGTGCTCTAAATAAAACCGAGTGGATTAAATGTAATATGAATTGTTTTACCAGACAACGGATTATATAACATGCATTCTGCTGCTGTAATATATTACCACAGTGGAAATATGTACAAACTTGTTGACAGTGAAACAGTCCTTGACCGATAACTGAATAGTTCCCAGTATTACGTTTATCTTGTCGTTTTCTATCGATTAAGTTACAATACGGACAGTAATCTAGGTGACTCACAATAGCGTGGACAATGTTTTTTGTCAGCCGGTTGGTAGTAGTCTACAAGAAACCTTCAACTAGATTCTAAGCCAGACAGGATTCATTAGCAAGGTGTACCTGGAGTCTTAAGGGTGATAATGCTCCATGAGATATATTGACCTGAGTTATACTAATTCATTGACAGAAGCATTACCACTCAGCTATTCAATGAGTAATTGATTGCCTGTAGGTAGACTTTTCTGACAAAAATTAGTTCGCACAAAATCTAGATCTACAGTTTCCTGCCGACTAATCACCACTTAACAGCAGCTAAATAATCAAAAACAAAATTTGTCAGTAACTGTTTCAGTTAATTTCCCTAACATGCAGTACAGCAATTATTCAGTTTTTGATTGAGATAATGAATCGATTGATGTTGGACCACTATTGAACACCTGGACGGCCGTTTTGCACTATTATAGGGCTCCTCAGCAGTGCACATCGATGATCCCGAATACAGGATTAGAGCCCAGGACAACCGGTCTCGCTTAACCTCTAGACCACTGAGCCGGGCGACATCCAACAGTGTTAATGTCTAACCTCAACCAATCCATGAAATTGAGCGATCATCTTTCATTGTATGAGGTAGATACATGTCTCTTCCTGACATGAATTAGATCCACTGGTCAGTTAATAGTAAGTTATTAAATTCCCAATTATGGGTGTATTAGTTCGACAGATATCAAATGTCCAACTTTAAAGTACATTAAAGCTACAATTTACTCGAATATTAAAAAAATTACGATGATGATTAAACAGAACGAAAGCATGAAGTCAATCGGATATTTAGAAAATCTCCCAACAGTAAAGATATGAATTAAACTGAATGATCTAGTTTCCACAAACGCAAGGGGTTCATACTTAATCGACCCATAAGCAGAGGTTGAAAACATTAACATCATCAGCCCAATTAGATTTTAAAAATTACTAAATAAAATAATGTGGAAAACTGAAGCACTATCTAAAGATTATTACAATAAGCACAGCTTAATTGTTCAATATTTAGATCTCTATCCTTGATGCTCATGTCTCAAACTCAAAGTAGGACGGCGTGAACTGCTACGCAGCATACTCCTCCTTTGGTCGGCTGCTTCATCTCTCGTCTACGCCACAGTTGACACGAGTTGGGAAAAGGTAGTCGAGCTTTCTGAATTTGCGCCCAGATTTCACCAAACACAACTCATAAAGGGGTGATCAAAACGCTTTGGTACTTCACTTTTACCATTATTTCAGTTGTTGATTTAGACCAGTACTGAAGCAATATTGTGCATTTATGAACCATTCAGAAGCTATACTATTTTTAAGTAGTTTGGTATCTGAAGCATAATTTTCAGATATGGATGGTAAAATGACGTTGTGGACTATTCATTATTATTTCAGTCACAGAAAAACAGGTTTATTTCATAATAGTACACTAGATTTTCTGACTTAAACGTTATCTAGAGTTGAGATGAAGATAGTACCACAAGTTCGTTCCAGTATTTAAATTACCAGTGATTTTAGAAATTTAAATATGGATAGTTTGATATGAAAACGTAGACTATCATTAACGCAATACATTTTGAGCAATCTGATGGCATATGTACTTATTAAGAACACTATCATGCTAGGAACACCTTATTCTCCCTCATATTACTATTGTCTAGTTAACCTTTTATTTCCCCTATAGAAAGCCCCCCTGAATGCCCTGGTACGGCCGAGAGTGGGGAGAGTCCGCTCTCCCTCTCGAAATACTCTCAAACGGCCACGCGTATACAGCCTCTGCCAGGGAAGTCCTACTCATTGCCTTGTCGTGGCGGGGGTGTTGTTTACGAAAATGAGAGGACGAAAAGCGAATGTCCGGCGCTTTAACCGGATTCCAAATCAATGGTGCACATGGGCTCCAGTATCCTGCGGGTACGAATGGCGTATGAACCAATCGCTGGTCACCGGCTACCATGGGACTGCATCTCCTTACGATGCTCCACTGCCTTGTGGGTTAGACCTTTAGGTCAAAGGCTCGGGGAGTGGCCCCCTAAGATAACCACCTGCTTCGGTTTGGGCACCAGAGCGGCTTATGCCAATCTGGGCCACCTTTGGCGCCTTCGTGATGTTAGTCTGGCTGTAAAAGGCCGGATCTACAACGCGTCGGTGAGAGCAGTTTTGCTCTATGCTTGTGAAACCTGGCCTCTCCGAGTTGAGGACGTTAGACGACTCTCTGTGTTCGATCATCGCTGTCTCCGAAGGATTGCTGACATTCAGTAGCAACACCATGTCAGTAATGCAGAGGTTCGCCATCGTGTGTTCGGGCACAGAGATGATAATTCAATTGGTGTCACCATCTTGAAACACCGACTTCGGTGGCTTGGACATGTTCTCCGAATGTCGTCCCAGAGAATTCCACGTCGTGCATTATTTGCCGACTCTGGGACTGGTTGGAAGAAGCGGAGAGGTGGTCAGTGCATGACATGGTGTCGTGGCATGAAAGAAAGCTGCAAAGGACTGGCTTGTGTTGGTCCTTCACGACTCCCTGGTTGGGGTCCGAGAGATGGTGCTACGCAGTGGCTAGAGACGTTATCAGATATGGCTCAGAATAGAAGCCAGTGGCGATCATGCTGTAACCTTCTTTTACTTTCTTCATAAAAAGTGGTTGTGTCTCCTTTACCTGAAAGATTTCTGATCGTACCTTTTCGTTCCGTCGTTACTACCACACTACCTTACTCCAATCTCTTCGTCATTGTTCTCTTTTTCTTTTGCGTTCCTTAGTTTTTTTTTTCTTTCTACTTCTCTTCGAATTCTCATTGTTTTGTGTGGCGCATATATATTGGCGCTCTCTTGTACCAATATTTATGTGTTCAAATAAATAAATAAATAAATCCCCTATAGAAATGTTATTAACATGTATGCGCTAATGTATTATATAATTCTAATAATCTTCGCCTTCATATTGAATTATGTAAATCTCTAATCATTCAAATAATGTGGAAAATACAAAACCCTTACTAATGCTCAATACATTTGAAATGTTTTGTTACCAGAACTTGCTCAACTTTATTAAACTGCCAGGTTGTTTTACGAGATAGTTGGTCAACGAAATAAATATATGAGAACTGTTGGCAAACAGCAAGGTTTTATGTATAAATGCTTTGACAACCTATGTATTAACGTCATATCTATGATGTTATACCATGCAAACTAAGCTGTATTACTGACCATTTCGTGATGTCGGTAGTAATCAAGCAAGTCATTTTAGAATATTAGTACATTACGATATTTCTTACTACTTATTTCAATACAAGTATTTCCTGTCTGTTCTGTTTAATAAAACGCATAACTGCGATTATTGCTTATGGATGAGCAATGTGTTTGATTATCAGATTTATATGGGATTTTAATATTTAACTCATTTAAATAGAACAAATAAAATCGAAATACCTAGCTTTTGACTACTAGATGAATTAACTTTAAGGATTTATTTACTTTTAAATTGAGATCTAAGATTTCAATTACTTGACATTGAACTATTAACTAAGTGATTCAAATAACAATAATAATTACCCGTCAAAGCGGTATAAGTATGTTGTACATACATATGAACTTGTTGTCATCAGAAAATATCAACGATTACAAAGAAGTTATGCATTGGCTAACGTACAGTCCAGTTTATCTGCCTATAATTTTGGAATGCAGTCATTTCATAAACTGATGTTTACAGTTAAACAGAATGTTTAGATGTCAAGAGGTATTAAAAATTCATAAGATGATTAATTTTTCTAAAGGATTATGTCAGAAAATTTTATCAATCGAACATTATAACACAAATTCTATTTGTAGGTATGACCCTATCCTATGAAGACCAAATGGTTATATTGTAATTTACATTTATTACTACTGTGTGATCAGGAAGAAGTTATGAATGAAACTCAGAATTCAAATACAATAATTTGAAAAGAAAATACAATAAATATAAGAAAGGAATTCACTTTCAGCTTATTGTACGTAGATACAAACTATGTATTGAATTTCGATTTAAGTAGAGATGCATATAAACGCTGTCCGTCTTATGTTTTGTTAACACGAAGAAATTATTACTTGACTTTAATAATTTCATGTACTTTGGTTCGCACAATATACTGATCAGACACGCGAACTTCGTAGGATCTTTACGATTTAGCATTAACTGTGGATTGTATAGTTAATTAACCAACATATAAAGGGTGCAGTTTCTCAATCAGCATACAAACCTGTATGAGGTCGATTTGGGTTTAGACTAGCATTTATTCAAACAGAAAATTATTATTAGTCTAAATTACAAAATAAATTCGTTATACTTTGTCAATTTTTTTAGCTTAAACGTGAAACATTTATTGAACGAGACACCCAATACGTAGAAGTGAGTTAACCGTATATATGTATACTAATCATTGAAGAGTTTCAAGACGCAAGATGATAATGTAAACAGAAAACTACACATGCAATTAGTATCTACATCACAAAATCAATGAAAAAAAACACATATTTGTACAAAAAACAATACGCAGCAACAAAAAATAGTGTGCGTCTATAAAACATGAACAAACTCACAAGACTTTATAAAAATGAAAAGTCATTAGAGTGAAAATGATACACATACACCTATATGAATACTTCTTAAACGTGTTTAAAATTTACAATCCAAAACAGTTATATTAAGCAAAAAGTGTAAATGTTTAATAAGTACAAATATTGTTTTTAGTCACTTGATACTGTTATTCTAAAATTGAAAGTAATTGAGATGCACATGCTCGTAAATTAGAACAAACTGTAGGTGTTGTTATCCAATAATTAATAATTTTACGAACTGATTCCCAGGCGGTAAATTCTTCAACATTGTTATCAATATTTACATCGTTATCAACACTTTGAGGTAAATCTTTCAAACCAATCATAGCTGATGCAAGAATACGAATACGTTGTGTTTTTAACTGCTCATCTGTTGAATTTAATCCTGAAGTTACTGATAATAAACAGGTACCGATAGATACAAATAAGTGATTTACAGCTTCAGGGTGTAATTGTGTAACACCACTACAACCATGATCCAAGGCAAGTGATAGAATATTAAGACTTATTCGAATACAAACACCAGATATAAAGCGCAGTTGAGGAAATATATTTGACTCGATAGAAAACGGTTTCGCCAAATGAACAAGTACAGACATATTATACATCAAACAGGCCAACGCAACCTGAAAATAAAAAGACGGATAAAATAGTTTGTTGTAAACAGCATCCATCGATTAATAAACACCAAAAAACAACCTAGGAATTGAATTCATGAAAATTTCGAAACAGGGAAATCATAGAACTTAATGTATACACAGAACACCAACACGACGTTCATATTTCCAAGCCACTGATAGTAACTATTATCCATGCAAAAAATACAGAACTATTCCGAGAATAGTACAGGCGATACCAATGATAAAGGATGAGAGTTGTACAATATCACGAATTGATGACAATTTTAAATATGAACTGTTGGATCTAGATTCAATGGTCTAACAGTATCGTGCTGGCAACGAAACCTTAAAGTTTCAGATTCTGTTACAATCAAAGTTGTGAATCTGTTTTATTGAGAAGGATTAAGCTAAAAACGAAACATAGGCACCAAGCTAGCTAAAGTTTTTAATGGTTCTACAAATTTTAAAATTTGTGATGAACACTAGTTTTAAATTGAACGGTTTCAATAAATTTCCTAATCACAAATAATACGAAAATTATAATAAAATCTGACCTGATGTGGTTTACGCGTTACAAACTGCAATTTATTATCATTAACAAGTTCAACTAATCTCCCAGTTATTCCAACAGCAGTAATTAAAGATTTTGGTACAACGTTCGGCTTATCACTACTATTTGTTAAGGATGATGATGATGATGACGACAAAGACTGACGCTGAATTGTGTCAATAAATCTTGGACCATCTGCAGCTAAAGAGTTTACTAATAGACGTAACATCAATAAACAATTTGCACTTGACAAATCAGGATTGTTAAAACTAATTAACAATAAATAATTCCAATTTGTTGTTTCAAATATAATATCACTGGATATCGGCCAAAAGACTAAACACCGTAAAATATCCAATAAGGGGAATATTGTATCTATGAAAAACAGAAATTAAGATCAATTTTAAAAACAATCTAAACATACATGATAAACCATTATAAGTTAATACTTAATAAATCATGTTGCTTTTTCACTGGAAAAAAATTATTTAAAAAATTTCAATTATGTGTGAAGATTACAAAATTACGATGAATTCAATGTATGCAATACTCATTACTATGCATTTTTGCATATTTGTAATTACGCATTATTTTCCACTCATGATAAAGACGAATTTCTTTTTACTTAACAAATAATGAGTATACTATGCATCCTTTACAATATGCAATGGATTTCAGATATGGTATTCCATGGTTGATGATAATATGTAGGTTACTAATAATTTCTCATAGATATTTTATGAATATTGCTCATATTTAGGGGGAACCAAAGAGTAAACAGTATTAATGTTGGTGTACTAGGAAGATGTGATAATGAGGCTGTTTAATACTAACCATTAAAGTGAACAGGACACGTGTCAATTATGCACAGCTACTAAGTGCTTTTTTGCTTCACGCAGAATTGTGTCAAGATTTATTAAAAGAACATTTGTAATCTGTTCAGTGATTGATCTGAAATGCTTACGGAAGTCCTGACTTTTTTGGTTGAAATTCATTGTAAAACTGTTATTTTTGGTTGAAGACTGGGTGAATTAGTTTAAAATCAGTTGCTGCTATGCACATGCACGGATTTTCCTATAATCAATTAAACCTTGAAATTATCATTACTCTACACATTTCATGCCTCGATCTCACTGGTTTTCTTTAGAATTCTTTGAATTGTATTCTTTTGTTCGTTACTACTGTCGATAAAATTAGTATTTTAACTTTTTAGTTCATTTGTCTTGTTGATTTTCCCTCGTTGTGATGATGTGAATGGACAAAGATCTACTAAACTAATAATAATTAATACCCTCACCAAAAAATAATTACCAAATTTTAAAATATTCACCTTGAAACAACTTCAATATACGATAGTTACTTTATTTGTGGACTTTATTGGAGCATAATGTGACGTATGAATAAGCATATGACAACAGTATATTAAACTTGATAACATACCGGGAGTCCACTTGTTTATTGCATCTAGAATATGAGTAGTAAGATGAACAGCTTCAGTTTCAGTACAATCATCAATGTTGAATTTTCTACATGCTTCTAAAAATTCATTATTTAACGGAATCGGTGATTGGACATTGAACGACTCTAGTTTAGCTGTATGTTAAGGAAGAGAATAATAAACATCGATGTCTTTTAGTTTGCTCCATTAATATTTTACCCACACATTTGTAATTAAAAGACCAAAATAGCTGGTTTCATGTAACAATTCTAAAGCTAAATATACATCAATTTAAGATTTTAAATGATACGAAATAGGTGTAGCAGTCTTCATATGTAGGATATTATCGAAAAGTGGATTTAAGAGGAAATACCAGATGTATAATAGTATTTATTAATAAACTCAATGGCGATTATATATGATTACCAAGCACACAGAATGTTCACAGAAAAATAGTTCCTTTCGTAACGAGCCTGTAGGTAATCCTGACGACTGGCTCCACCTTTGCCCCAAATAAACTAATTAGAAGCATTCACGAAGCGATAATATTAATTGATTAATTAAGACAACTGGGATTAGGCTCAAATTAAATTTAAAGGAACTTAATGACCAGACATTATTGCATGTTGCACTTTTGAACTGAAATATGGTTGGATGATATTGACCGAATACCAGAACCAAATTAGGTGAAACAGTGTTTGAACTTACAACCTGATAGTGAAAAGTTGAGTGCTTTAACTACTAAGCTACCTTTATAATTGATCAGTATGACTATTTTTAAAATTCTTTAATGGAAGTATTAGTTAAATTGGCGATCACTAACTATGTTTAATGAATAGTTGACAAACGGTCATATTACTAACCGCCATTAAAATAACTTGATTGGTTATTAACCGATCTACGATTATTTCTCTCATAAATGGTTAGCGGACAAAATCAATTATAAAGTTGTGATGGAATACCGTGAGTATAAAACGTTATAATAATAATAATAATAATAATAATAATAATAATAATAATAATAATAATAATAATAATAATAATAGCATTACTAACAACTTCGGTTTTGATTGCGTATATTAGTGATAAAGTTAGTAACTTAGAATCTCATCAAAAAGTATAGCACGTTTACATTTCATTATTTGTGACATATTAAACTAACCAATAATAAACAAGTACGAATAGGTCAAACAATAAAATGATGTACAAGTGGAATTATATATTTTAAAGGTTAATTACATAGAAATATCAAAAATTAACCTACTCATTAAAGGACCAAGGCTGATTGATTTCATAGATATAAAGGTATCGGGTGGGAAATGAGATGTAAAAACCGACGTCCCATTTGTGGTGGACTTGGTTATCGTCGAAGAAAAGCTATTTGGGATATATCGATGTGCTCCAGTAAAGGGATCACTGTGAGAAAGATCATTGCTGACAACTGGATTAATTGGAGGTCCTGCATTTTGAATAATGAAATTAGCAACTGTATCTAGATAACCAGCAGGTAAATCATGTCTTTGAATAAAAGAATGAGCCGCAAACCAGGGATCTTCAGTACGATTGTAAGGTAGTTTAAGCCCAGGCATGCTATCATCAATATCAACCGTAAATACAAAATCGTATTCCTTAGATGAAATATAAACAATGGTATTATAAAATGGACGAAATACACATTTTGAAAATATGCATATGAACTAAGCAATGATTAATAAGTGGAGCAACAAAATAAATAGAATGAAGGTTAAGAGATATTACACAAACTTGTAAGGTTGATTGTACAGCGACATCTATCTAAACGACCTATGTTGTTTTGAATCTCCTGCTCCAATTGTGTAGTGGTCTAATGACTAGAGTATAAAGCTTTAACAAATCTTCCGTTCGAAACCCACCCCAATTACTTCCATTTGCCAAGCCCAGTAGCGTTACTAGCCCCTACACAAAATTGGTGTGGCTTAAAGCGCAGTACAGAATCTGTACTTGGTAAATCACTCGTAATCTAAAAGTGTAAACTATCGACAAAATCAAGAGATATATTTAAGTGTTGTTGAATGAACTAAGTCACTGAGCATTAAAAAACCTCCTGTAGTAAACGTATAAACTGTAGAGTTTCTCAGTTTAGGGGTGATTCTTGAAGCACATAGGCTTGATATTGAAAAAGAATTAAAAGACTCATGTGGTAACCCTTCGAAAAATATTGTTAATTAATTAACTATTGAGTTGATTGTACGAAAACCAGACTACAGATAGCGGATAAGGTAATACTATGGACCCTAATGACAAGATAATCGAACTGATCAAAAGATATGGTAAAGTCATCAAAATAAGTAAGTGGTACTCCATCTAGAAACATACGGTTTTTAAGAACAGTTAGAGTGGATTTCAGGATTTAGGCTTCGAATTTGTGGGACAATTATTATCAAAACGAATCTCAAACCTTCAACCAACTAATACTACCTGTGGGATACGAACTGGGAACATAAAACACTTATAATTCATTAAATCTAGTCTACTTCAATCTTAAAAATAATCAAGCAAGATTTTTAAAAAATATATTGGGAATTTATATAACACATAGTGGTCAAATTAGCTAAATAAAAACAAAATAAATAAATGTACTCAAAATTTATTAAGCTAATCAACAGAATAGTTCTGGCAAATGAAGGGAATTAACTATTTCAAATCTTTTCAATAAAGCTACCGAGATTTAATTCATCGCATTGATCAAAGCGTCCTAATAAATTGTCTTTATTCTAACAAAAGTTTGATTTTAGGGAATAGACAAAAATAAAAACAACAAAATACTGGAATCATCAAAAGATTATTAGATATGCTTACTTTTTACAATACAAGAGCATGAACGCATATAAACATTTTTTATCAAATGAACTTTGAAACATATCACATTATTGCTATAACCATCAATTATTTTGTTTTGTTACGGGTTCAATATCAAGCAAAGTAGTACTTAAATGATCTTAACACAAATTACGATTGAAGTTTGCTCTATAACGAAGTAAAAATTAGTAATTGAACAAATAATGTAACGACGTACCATCATGTTTATTTGACAGGAATTCATGAGAAAAGAAAGACTTATTTTTACGAGTCAACAATAACAGAACTGAATCTTTATCAGTAACTGAAGTAATAAGATTCGACATGCAAATTTCACATAACAGTTAACAAAAACGACAAAATTAATGAAGCGCGAGAGACAATAATAGCTTACTTTGCCTTCATGAACTTGACGATTAGAAGGTTGACTTCCCACAACATCACCAACTTCAATCCACCGAGCATCATGTGAAGACCATTGATAACAAACAGAGCGGCCATTATCGTTAATGACCATGATCTGTCCTTCCGATTTCCCTATATAATCAAAATCCATAATAATGGAAAATAAGTATTCGCAGAACAGTGATCATAGCTACTACTCTTTTTAAGGATGTGGATTTTTTTATTGTTCACATTCAAGGCTGAATTTAACCAATCCCGAGTGGCATATGAGATCCTAGAACAGATACCTTATGATTACCTAATTATATTTTAGATAGAAGTTAGTAACAGAACCTAGAACGTGTTTTCTTACTTTCGTTAGTCATATCCGTCGAAGAAGTGGATGTAAATCATGACTCCGTAACCTGACTGGTAACACTCTGGACTTTAAGGAGATAGATAATGGGTTCGAGTCTTTGTGTGAAGATAAACACTAGGGTGAACTTACAATCATCAGATAGATACCAACTCGGATGAAGCACAAATCTTGGATTCTACTGCTAAGTGAGTAATTATAGCTTGGGAAAACCGATTTTTACTATGGAATAGTCAAAGAAAAATTATAGCCTTAATAACGTAATTTAATTTCATATTTATCAAATTTGTGCTGGAAAATTATTACCTTTAACAAAAGATCGCAGAAATCAGTTGAAATTCTACAGTCCATTAAAATAAATCTAACAACAACTGGTTTCATAAATATACATAAACAACAGTACTAGTCTTATTGATCCACTGAACTTGAATGATAATTTAAGACTTGGCTATAAACTCCACTAAAATCTCATGCAATTGGTTCCCTTTATGAATTTAAATAAAGCAAGAACAAATATTGATGCAGAATGGCATGAATTCATATTATTTCGAGGTTTCTCGTCAGCTGCTTACAAACCAAAAAATGTGATAGAATTTTTACATTGAGATAGAGTGAAAACAAATGACATAGATGAGTGTAAATAACTGGGTTACAATAATAACTATATATATATATATATATATATATATATATATATATATATATATATATATATATATATATATATATATATATATATGCTAGAACAGGTCAGAGGTCAAAAGGAATTAATTCGGGTTGGGTGGTGTAATAATGCAATTGAATAATCATAAGATAGGTTACGTAATAATAATTAAATAGAATATGAAAAGTTAAGATAATTTAGGAGGATCAGGTGGTTGAAAGTCACCTACCCAGCAGCAAAACTTATGACAGTATGGCAAACGAACTGCTCACTTCAACAAACCAAAATCGGCAAGCCCTCTTTTCTTAGTAGCTCCAACTGCATCTACCAATTTACATATACGTGCCAAAGCACATACATTGGAAGAACTGAGAGAAGAGTGCATGTCCGCATTTCTGAGCACGTTCCAAAAAACTTGAGGCTGCGTGGGACCAGGGCTTTCAACAGTGCAATAGCTCGACATCTACTTGACACCGGGCACACCATCGACATTCCTCATGCTTTCAAAGTTATCAATAGACAAAGAAATACGACCACCCTCCGTTTTGCTGAAGCTATTATGATCAAAAAACTTAAACCTGACTTATGCATTCAAAAAGAGACGTTAATTAGCTTATCACTACCCTGGTAACCCTTTATTATTATTATTATTATTATTATTTTATTTTTATTTACTTTAAAATATTTATATTCCTCCCCTATTACATAATTCTTAAACCACATTATTATTTACGCATTTCCACAACCTGATCCTCCTAAATTATCTTAACTTTTCATATTCTATTTAATTATTATTACGTAACCTATCTTATGATTATTCAATTGCATTATTACACCACCCAACCCGAATTAATTCCTTTTGACCTCTGACCTGTTCTAGCATATATATATATATATATATATATATATATATATATATATATATATATATATAGTTATTATTGTAACCCAGTTATTTACACTCATCTATGTCATTTGTTTTCACTCTATCTCAATGTAAAAATTCCATCACATTTTTGGTTTGTAAGCAGCTGACGAGAAACCTCGAAATAATATGAATTCATGCCATTCTCCACTAAAATCATCCACCTGAGCTATAAATCTTCTCCATCACCATAAAATACACCTCCTTAGTATGGTGTACCTGATTAAAATAAACGTTTGTAGTGTGAGTAACGACAATAAACAATATTTCATTTCCATTTCAAGTGATATGAGGCAGTATTGCTTCGTGAATAAAACACTTGATATGCACCAACTGACAGATCTCAGTTTCAAACTCTTTCTACTTAAATCTGGATAGTTAGTATGACTCTCACTCATACAAAAAAGTGAGACTGAAAGACGAGTATCCGACGAATAAGTCACCTGCTTTATCTAAAAGATGCAGGATTGTATAAACGTTCAACTTATATTCATTTCTATCACTGTGTATAAAACACAGAGTTGGTTAACAGGACGCTATTAATTTACATGAGCATTTGGTTCGATAGTGAATAAATCAACAATTCCTTAGTTGTGTAATGCACGATAGGAACACATACAAGGGAATATTAGTAAGTACAAATGAATTACCACGAAATACCTGGTCTCGTTAAAGCCTCAACTCCCGGTAAATTGTTCAAAACTAAATCTCCAGCTCCAGAAGAACTAGGAACTGTAATCTTAAAATTGGCTAATTCTGTCTCATAAAGTTTCAAGATATCTGAAGATGCTTGTCGTGTTGAATCACATGAAAATATCCGAATCATCGAATCACTATGAAAGAAATAGAGCATATAAATTGCCTTTAGTACACTTGATCAACTAAATAAAGTTAGATAGTCTATCCAGATAAAGGAAGCCAATCAGATAGAATTTATCTGATAGGCTTTATCTTCTGTTTGTATTAAATCATTCCTAATAACAATCAAAATTGAGAACATTTACAATAATCTGAAAGATTGTTAACTACATCACCTATTATTTAACATTGATTCCAATTAGTAATTTGATGAAAATAAAATGAATCCACTGGTTAAACGCAATGACTGCATATTTTTATCGTTATTGTCTTTCAGGAAGATATCATGAACTAAAACTTAAACTAGTTGAAGAGTCGACTGATTGATTTACTCATGAACCGAGTACAAATTTCTGCAGTCAACTTTGAATTATATATTAGTTGTGTGAGAGCAACAAGCACTACTCAATTGCCCGAACAGAAGTAAGTAAAATGGAGTTTGGGCCTCAGACCGACAAACTGAAAACCAAATGGCTTAAGCATTACAACCAATGCATTCATTTAAAATTGAAAATTAGCAAAGAATTTTGACTTTGAATCAGTCAGTCGATTATGAACGATATAAGACTTTACATAAAATATTCAGTGGTCATATTGCTACAGTTCACACACTCACGTCGAAACGTCATCACTATATGTGCAATTCCAGCACAAAATAGATATATTATTATTTATAACTCCATAAAATCTGTAACAATTTTTAAGTATCTTTTAAGAGCAGGACCTGTAAATTTCAATCTAGCCTAGTTGAACATAAATTATCTCTATACAATTCACCCTCCAACAAATGTACTTCCAAAGGATTACAGGTAATTATTCATCCCCAATTAAAAACCATAGATAAAGTATTCGCTTTACGACTAAATGGAACCAACATCAAATTAACAGCAGCGAAGATGAGTGGAACTTGTTTTACATGTACATAATCACCGTTGACTTAGACGTTTCGTAGTTGGCTATAATTAGATGGGATTCGTGCAATATGCCTCTTTTTAAACGGTTTTCTTTGTCATCAAAGAGGGGGTGTGGGTTTAAATCAATTGTAAAAAGTTTAAAGTCTACATTTTATAACTTAGATGGAGGGAACTTATCAGAGTAGACTGAAAAAAAACGTTAGATTGGTTCAGGAAGATTTAAGAATCCCAGTAGATTTCAAACTCGATTATACAACTTTTTACACTTAATAATTACCTGCCTCCGACAATAATATCACCATTCAATACCATAGCTACACACCACGCAGACTGACATGGCAACAGAATAGTTTGAAAGCAACTAAAATGTTTTTCAGGAGCCCATTCACTTGCCGAAGGTAAGAGCCAGACACGAATACTTCTATCCTCACCACAGGAAACAAATTTTGGAAAATCAGGTGAACAAGCCAATCCATAAACAAAATTTGTGTGCCCATAAAACTCTCCAATACATTTACCCGTAGTAGCATCCCAAGCTCTTATACTGGCATCATTGCTTGCTGATAAAAATCGTGAATCATCAATACGTGCCAAGGCACGTACACAGTCTTTATGTTCATTTAAAGAATTTAATAAAATTATGTCAGGCGAACTTATATCTTGATTAAGACCACGTAGGCACCATATACGTATAGTTTGATCAGCTGAACCAGAGATAACAATTAAATCATCAATATGACCGGTTATATTTACGGCCGACATAACGAGTACACACCATACTGCTGCTTCATGTCCTATACATAAGAGAATTAACTGCCAATTTTATGACAAAATAATAGGGAGTTATTAATAAATTACCAGTGAGTATGTTGGTAAAAATTACAACGAACTGATCATCAAATAGCTGGGACAGCCATTTATAGTGGAAATTAGTTGTAATAATGTTTTTTATTCTGTATTCATACTGATAATGATAACTGTCGCAAACAATATCAACTAAGAGATCACTTCTATCATATCATGTAGACAGCAATCTAAAAATATTCTTCATGATTCCCCTATAAAAACATGCAGATTAGTAAAACCAGCAAGATCAAATAATAGACTTTAAGTAACATTTACCATTTGATAATAAATTATCAGTCAGCTGGCACTAAAAAGAGTAAGTTTAAACAAGCTAACTGTTCAGACTACTGCAATGAAATTGCTACACTACAAAACGTAAGTGTTGAATGCGATTTTGGAGAATATATTTCTGCTTTTGACCCTATTCAAATATCTCTATTATTTGGCAAATTTATAAGATGATTAACTAATTATACTCTTATTTCTGTGAAAGTGAAAAATATACTATTTATGAAGAGTTCAACTTTTTTACTTAATGAGACTCATGTGTTCGAAGTAGATCTTTCATCTTTTGTTTCTCCTTTCTCTACCGTATCCCCCAATCCTATTTTAGTGTAGTATAGCGTTTGTTTCTGGATAACCTGAAATGAAAAAGTTCCTAACAACTTTTTGTAATTGAAAAAGGAAATTATTTATTATAAATACTTGACATTTTAGAAACCGGAAATAATTATATAAACTTGCAGATAATTCTTAAACTTTTTTCAATAAAAAACATGGATATGATGCTGAACTGTATGAATTTAGTCAACTTTAGAAAACAGTATTCAGAAGTTACCGATGACAACCAGTTAATAACGTGATCACATTTTTTCACCCTAATATTCCAAATTTTACAAAAAACATTTTCATTTAAAACTCACCTGTGAGAGTAGAAACACACTTTTCTTCCTTCCATATTTTGATTGATTTATCCCAAGAACCACTAATTATGGTTTTGTGATTTCCAACAGCTAAAGTACACACTGGTTGGAGAAACAAATGAGTAATGTAATATCCACTAAGAACATACCTGTATCTTTATGCCCTTCTAAAGTGAAAAGAGCTTCTGGAGACATAGAATTATACCCTCGAATTAGTTTATCATGTGATCCTGTTAGAATATGACATTCGTTATCTAAATCTTGACAACACACAGCTGATACATAATTCGTATGCCCGAGAAGAACCATATCTTCACAGCCATCGCAACCTTCTCTATCAAATAAAAAATTTATTTTCAGTTAAATTTCCAACATACTTAAAAAAACCTTGATGAATTATAACATAATTTGCGAAATTAACAACTATTACTATTAAGGTGCTCAGTAATATCCAGATAGTAAGTTGATAAATAAAAGTGGCTACCAATACTATTTGAGACTATCCAGTTGGAAAAAGTCAGCTACTCAGCTACAACGTAAAACTAGGCACATATATGCATCGGTCCAAGTTGCCAGGTTGGAAAAAGAAAAACTTAAAACTGACCAACGTTCGTATGAACCCGTACCTGCAATAACCCTTGATGGTGAACCTTCAAACATTATTGATAAATTCATGTATCGGGACAATCATATGTATGATACCGAAAATGTGATAAGACGAATTTTGTAAACCAAAAACCGGAGGAATATATGCTGATCTAGATGACCTTCAGCACTGTTAAGAAGCTAGTTTAGCAGAGAAAAGATTGGTTGCACGATTAAGTTTTGTTAAGCATTTGAAGACCTTAACTTATTGAGAGGAGAATTTCTCATCACTCATTCTGTAAACTTTACTACCTGTCCTACTAGTGACAGGAATTCTGTCCAATAACGGATTTTCGTGTACCTTACAGTTGATAGACATAATAATAGTTACGATATAGCCTGTATACATGACTTATCATAACTACGGTTAGTAAATGTAATAGTATTAGTTTAAATAGAAAGATGACTAACTTGGAAATATACCATGTCCTTGCTGTTAAATCCCTTGAAGCAGAAACAATCCTGGTATCTGAAAGACAAGTGACTGCACGGACGTCGCTCTTATGACCCGATAGAGTGCATCTCAGCTTGTAAACTTCAACCATATTTTAAGAAGTATGCAGTTACAATATTATTTTTACAGCCTCATAGGACTTCTTAATTCGAACAATCTGTCAAAATATAAATACATTCGCGAGACTGGAGCATTAATAGGTGAAATGGAGAATAAGTATTTTAAGACTAATATAGTCCACAAATGCAATACAATCAGAAAAGCTAAACTAAGTACTTCCTTATGTTACTCCTAACCTGGGCAAGTGATATTACGCAACAGTTGAACTGAATGAAATATAATCCAACAAGAGTCAATTCGGCTCATTATACGATACTACAAAATTTGGCTCAAAAAAAGACAGTTCTCGCCAACTCAAATAACTTGTGATGCCACTGCTGCTCGATAATTTAATAATGATGTTTTTAAAGTGATGACTTTTCTTTCTTATCGCTAGTATCAAAGTACTCAGCAAAGTTCATTGCTAGGCTGATTATGCATTGTGAGAGTTGAAAATAGTACTAGTCTACCGATACTGCTAGGATATCAAAACTAGCGTTTGGTTAAACTACCAGATAACAAATATTTATTACATTATATAATAAGTAAATGGTTAATTATCACGTTATAGTGAATCAATATAGTTAATGCTCACTAATAGATTTAATAATTCCATACTTCAACCTGTTGAGACAAAATAATCTCAGACAATTTCAATCACAGAAGATAACCTATTGCATCGCGCAATCAGTGATTATTTGTTTGAAGACTGAATACAAGTATGTGGATTTTAAGATCAACATGATTGGTAGGGAACGTGTAGTAGTACTTAGTTTACCAGCCAGAATGAAATACACAGTCGTACACTTAATTTTGAGTATATTTCAAGCCTTTTGTTGCACGTCCTTTAATCATGTATTTTTATGTCACAAATTGATCTTAGTGAGACCATTATTGGAAACTAGTAGGCACTGGACAGTTGTTTTGTCGTAATACGAAGTCCGCGGCATTGGCGGGTCTACGAGCACACCACAATGGATCAAATCCAGGACCTTTAATCCCGCGAGCGAACACTTTATTACCACGAGAACTGGTTTTGTGAACAATCACGTTTGAAAATGAACTACGTGTAAGCTAACAATAAAGTTGATATCCCAAAAACTTCAGAAAGTGTAAGTTGACCCGGAAACAGTCATTATTGGTGTAGTCTGTTTATGAAAGAAAATGTGTGAGAAGTAATTTACCGAGAAGAATGATATCTAGGATAATGCATTTCAGTGTACATTGTGAAGTTCGATTCACCAACTTTAGTTTGTGGGGATTTTGTCTTCTGTCGATACAAAACGTGATAAACCCACTTTAAGCACTATTTTAATTAAACCATGTATAGGTGCGAGAGTAAATCAAAACGTGAGTATTTAGGAGATTTGGTAACCATAGTTCTGTATATCTCCAAGTGATCGCATACATAAGAAACATCCCTAGAAGTTCCCTTGAACTGCTAAATGAAACAATTTACGGACCATGTACATAGAAACACACAACAGACCTTACATAAATACAAACCTACCTAAAAATCAAATGTTTTATACGTAAATCCCAAGGCACCAACAGTTGTTTGAGAGCACTGTCTCAACATCCAACCCTATTCCAGTAATATACTGAGGATCATCATAGAATTACACATTTATCGAAAAGTCAATGTGTAACACAGACGGACAAAACCAAGTCCGAACGTGAGAGTCACATCGACTAACATTTTAGTAAATCTAGGCGTTTCATCCTTAGATTTTTGTGCAAAACCAAGTTTTTTAGCGTGTTTAAAGACATAAACGACTTCATTACCAAAAACAACGTGAATGGATGAGTCTTGAATCACAAATTAGTTACTTTATGCCTGTCTGATATAATTTTACACAAAGGATCACTTTTATGGTCAATCAAATAAGTGCTACTCTCGGATTTTTAAAAGTTTACCAACGATAAATACCCACTACAGTTACGAAAAACCTTTTCAACGGAGTCGAAATCCCCATATAAGATTTTCCTAATGGATTCAGTTTTTTTCTATTGCAGGGCGACCAAGGATAAACGCTTTGGAAGAGCAAGCCTTGTGTGTACTGAACCTACAAGATGACTCATAAGACTATTTTGTAAGCTAGCCATTTCCTCACCTAGATGTCATGGGACGTCCGAACATTTTGATAACCTCGTATCCTACCTGAGTGATGAAGTAGTAAAACGAGCTACCGCCAACGGTCTTGTGGCAAGCAACGCACTTACCTAAAATCGTAAAATCCTAGATGACTGTTATTCCCTACCCGTGGACACCCAGCAAGTGACTATCCAGTTTTTATCGCGTCACCAGAAAGCAAGTGAGAATCCGATCGATTAACTTAACTCCTTGCAGCAAATTCGCAGACCATGTACAGAAAGAATAGCTAGCTTACAAAACAGTCCTGAGTCGTCTTGTAGGTTCAATGCACTCAAGGCTTGCTTTTCTTCTTCCAAAGCGTTTGTCCTTGGTCGCCCTGCAATAGGAAGAAAACGGAATCCGTCTACAACTTATATGGTGATTCCCCGTTACACCTATGTAACACGCGTAATAAGCAGTCACTGAAAGGCAGGAAGACCTAAAACCACAACACACAATGTTAACCGAGCACTTCACACGAAAGAGAACACGGGATGCAAACCACCAGTCGTTTATCTGGAAATTAAAATTCGCGGGTTATGTACAGAAGGAAGAGGTAGTTTACAAAACGGTCTTATGCGTCATCCTGTAGGTTCAGCGCGTGCAGAGCTAGCTCTTCTTTTCCTAAAGCATTTATCCTTGGTTGCCCTGAAATAGGAAGAAAAACAAAATTTATTAACAACTCCACACCTTTTAGAATCAAATAGCCCACTACGCATTAGAAGCAAGTGACGTTGAAATAACTCGTAACATCTTCAATACCCAACAAAGCGTCATCTTCATAGAAAATCTTCGTAAGATACTCGGTAACAAATTTCGTGGGATTCTGTCAGTTTCAGCGTACCTTATTATTTCTAAAGCCATCCGTCATCACGTCAAGGAGTAGTTGGTTAGTCGATCCTCATATGATCGTTATGAGAAATAAATTGAAATAAATGACAACATAAAAAATTAGATATAAAATTGAAACAGATTTAAAAAACCAGAAATGAATTCCAAAGCACCAATGATGAAAAAAACAATTTAAAAAGACTACAGTGCATAACATATGAGCATAAGTAATGCTGGACATAATATCATCACGCTTCATGCATTCATTCATTCATCATCAGTTACAGTTTTGAAAGGACAGAAGGCAAGACCTGTGTTAGTCCTGGCAATGACGATCTCTTAGTTAATCCACTGTTCTTTTGAAAGCTTTAATCACGCGTTGTGGTTGCAGGACCAGTGAAATGTCACTGTGCCCTAGCAAAATCATCTATCCACAAGGTCACTGAATGTTGAAAAGGTTTACTGGTTCTCATCAAGTTCATAAAAAACTATCGCTCATCAGTCAGTCTCACGTCATGCACTGGCCCATGCGGTGGTGGTCGCTCTTTTGTTTGTACCTGCTCTAACGAATAAATTTCTGTAATAACGTAATGTGTGTTATACAGTTCTCAAAGCAGCCATAGTACCTGGATGTGTTGACAGTGTAATCCACGATAGGTGCTAACCGCGAGGTAGCTGTTACTCACTCCAGTCCAATCTAACCAGAGTAGGCCCCCCAGTCAATCAATAAAGAGGACCTACGCTGATGATCAAAAAGGTATTGAATTTTATCCGTTTATGGTTCGATGAGAAAGTCGAGTAAGTAATTTGATCTAGACTTATGGACGTTTTTACGGCGTCCTTGCAAATTCTCTTGTTTGGAAGTCGAGAAAAATGAGGGCATATCATGTGCAAATTTATCGCAAAGTAATTGATGAACTGCGATCAAACCACCTCTGGGTCATCTGTACGACAATGCAAATAGATTTAGTTTAGCCAGTCGATTATCATACATGAGCTTTACTATCTCGATAATTAGCATATTTGCGGTTCTTTGAACCTTTTCCAACGACTCGCTGCCTCCTTTTATGCAGGGGCTAGCTGCTTACGTGCAGCACTCGAGTTTGGAACAAGTGAATACTGTACACAAAGCCACAAAGGTTTTTGTATTGAAATACATTAAAAGTTCTTAGATGGTCATGGTGTTCAGAGTGTGTGCATGTGGGGTGCGTGCATGGACTGAAGTTTAGGGCAACTCCAAGGTATATGTATTGCTAATATAATCTGAGAACACCTGAGCCTTAACATAACCGTCACTCACTAATGATTCAGTACTACTGTCTTCTCACAACGCTTCAAAGCTGTCTCTTCTTTAAGTCCTTTGGCTCATGTATTAGTGTAGGCGTTTATGATTTTCTGTAGATTCCCCAACTAGTTTTTCTTCATAAAATCTTTTAGACTTACGGAGGGTCGATGCGAAAATATTTTGAACTTCCCGATATTGAGATTTCATCTTATCAGCGACCAGTAACCTAACTCCCTTTCAAATTCTTCTATTCTTACGGAGAAGTAAAATCTCAGTTGAGATTCTTTCGAGGGACTTAGCATATCGGCGATTTTTTATTTGTGGTTTGAAATGCCTTATATGTACCCAAGTAAACTAGAACAAGTTAAGACAATGTTGCAGATGGAAACATATGCTTTCTCAGATAGTAGTTTTTACATACGTTTAATCACTTCTATTCTGTGAACCAGTTATATACCGTGCGTAGGAGGATAGCTTATCAGTTAGCAGGATGAGCCGGACAGAGTTTGGATGTGTTACAAAATGTCATTCATTCATTATGGAATCATTGAGAGTTGTAATGTTTACAAATAACATATGCCTATGAATAAAGCTTTAGACGAGTAGATGAGTTGTACACAGGGACAACATACTTCTTGTGGTCATTGGGGACTCAGCATCGCTAACACATGGAGTCGTCTGTGCTAGAACAATTTCTTGGCAAGATACAGAAGCAATATAAGGGGATGCATCAAACAAATTA